AGTAGTAGTCTAAGACATGTATCTTTCCAACCTGAACTATCCTATGATTCTGTGAAAGCATATAAGGAAAAAAGCAAGTTTTCATCTTATTTGAAACACTTAAAAAAAAAATTTCTCATTCTTAACTATTGTACGGCTTTTATACAACAGCTATTTAACAGTGAATTGAACTGAGGCACACTGAGGAAAAAGTTTAATTCACTAATACCTTATTTCTTTCAGAGTCTGACCCTGGAGGACAAAATTTGAGACATGGTATTAAATCATACACTGCTTTTACAAAATAATTTTACAGCCTATGAAAAAGATCTGTTTTATATTTTCTGTTCCATGGTTTCCCCACATATTCCTAATATGTGTTCATTCTACTTATTTGCCCACCACAGTCAGCTAGGAACATTTGTGGAGGCTAAGAGAGAAATAAATTAAGCATACAAACTTACTGTGCACTGACATGCACTGCTTCTTCTAAGTAGAAACCCAACAAGTTACACCAAGCTCAGATAGATACCTGACTGAAAAAGGTCTAAAGCAAGTGTCAAGACAAGCAGCTGAAAAGTTACCTGCAGTTACCAAGCCCTTCTGGCTAACTTACATCAGGATAAACCATAACAGAGGCACGGCCCTTAATTCTTTGGAAGCCAACGTCTTCCCTGTGCCTCTTCCTTCGGGGAACCGTTGATGGTTATATGGCAAGTTACAAGATGTGCATAAGCATTTCTATGTATCTTCCACTGGGTACAAGGAGGAAAGCCTGGGCCCATTAAAGTCACTAGAAGCTTTCCAACTGTTTTCAAAGATGTTCTAATGTCACCCAGAGGGAACATTTCTGTGCATGCTTCTCAGGTCCACATTTGTTCTCCGTAACAGATCCTTTGCAACTGAGATCTCTCTTAATATGTTCTTGTGTGGCCCTATCAAAAAAACAACAATGCAATTCAGACTGAATACTACTTGTTAGGAAGTCTTTATCTATCGTATGAAAAGCATGAAAATAAATTTATCATAGTTTCTTTTATATATCATAGATGATATATGTTTTCATCTAAAACCAACTAGAGATATTTAAGAACATTCCTGTTTTTCTACAGAAAATGTATTCGAATAATTGAATAAAAGGATTTATAAAAACGTAAATGTATTCTACAAAAAACAGTGTGAAACCAGAGTTTGTTTCCAGCAGTCTTGCAAGTATGAGGTCTTACAGCACTACATTTGTAGCGGCGGTGGCTACACAGCCATGCTGGTTTGCACAGCTGTTTAAAGACAAACAGGAAAGCAAGGTCCTTGACCGGCGAAGCTGACAATTTCAATAACGCTGACAGTCTAACAAAAAGTGACAGTGGTGTTGTTCAGTGAGTAGGAAGGGCAACAGCAAACAAAGAGAAGGGGAAAAGTGATCCTGTGAGAGCAGTATTTCGAAGGAATCCAGATGAGTACACTGTTGCAATACCTTAGGGTTGGTTTGTTTGCTTTTTAATTTTAGGAGTGCCACATTCAAGTGTGGCTGCCCAGATATCAGTAAGCTGATGCAAAAAGGGAGAATTCTGCCTAGGAATGGATAACAGAGAAGAAGGAGAACAGGAAGAGCATCTGGTAGAAAATGCATGGGGAGGAAGGACCTAGAATAGCAGTATTTTCTCCCAGGTTTGGGTACATCTGTAGAGTATCAAAACATCCTAAATAAAGTGCTGTTGAGCAATTACCTGAGGGTGGCAAGGATGGTCAGGAATTGCAGCAATACAAGTGAATACCTATCTTAATGAAGTCTTGTACAGTTTCTGCGACAGCCTTTTAGAGAAACCATAGCATACAGTTCTTAGAAAGCTAGTTTAGCACGGCTGCTGCTTATGTAGGAAATCATTCCTATGACTTTCTGTAGGTCTAGAAGTGAAATTATCTGCTGCAATAAATTCACAAGTTTAGCATTTGTTGATACTGTGACCAAAAGTTAATGTTTCATTGGCTGACTGAATCAAGATCACCAGTTGCCCATTACGTATTTTTGTGGTCTTACCCATACATTTGATTTCAGCAGATTTTGAGTAATCTAATTCTTTGATTGTTAAATGAAAGCCATGTATGTAAGAGATTAAGTTTTGTTACTGCAGAAAAAAGCAATTTCACAAATAATTTTCTTTTGTAACTGACTGTGTCACTGAGGGTACATTCAGCCAGCACAGGCAGTTTCTGGCTGCAAACATACTGAATGACCACCCTCCCAATGAAAACAGAGAAGGAGAGAATATAGCAGTCCTGAACAAATACATGACATCGGGGCTACAGCTCCTTTTGGCACAGACAGCTGCGTGCAGTGGATCTGACAACGCATGGTGCTGCGTAATAGCCATCGCTGATGCAAATGAACACAGAATAAAAATGTTAAAGACTTTCAGGGAGCAGAGTGAAGGTGTTTGGATTACTATCTTGTTTGAATCCAAACAAAAAGCTACAGATATTGAATAAAGTTTCAAAAAGGATTTTCTAATGCAGAAGTTTAATAATATCCCACAAAATTTTGCTTTGCTTTAAATACTCCACAAGACTTGAACTAATGTCTCTTCTATGCATTTATCCAAAAATAAGAATAAAAACCTGAAACTCTTTAAATTGATATGCTATTGTGTGGCTGTGATCCCACTCCAAATAACTAATTGGGTAATTTAGCCATAAAAATGATCTAAACCATGTTACTCTGCTGAAAGTTCACCATTCTGGCAAGTTGGCAGTGAATTAGTTTGAACGATTTGAACCTGTGTTTGCCAGGTTGTGCCTGAGCAGGGTCAGGGAAAGCAGCTGTGTGGGACAGGGAGTGAAAGCATTAACCAGAGATGTTCCATTTGAGAGCACAGGTCTGTGAGCTTCCTACTGAACTATAAACTCACTATGCAAACACCAAAATAAAAACCCCTAAACTTTTCTCCTGAAAACATAGTGAGGCCATGCTAGTTCCAGTAGGTAAAGAATGGGAGTCACTGAGGATGAGGAGGTGCAGTGTGAGAGCCAGAAAGCGAGCCTGAAAGGTAGAGGGAGCCGGCTATTTCTCTTTGTTATCGAGTGAAATGACTCCACAAATATGACAATAAATCACTGCAGGAATCAATCTGAGTGGAGGCAACTGCTCCATGCTGATAATGCATCAATCAATATTTAATGTTTACACTTTAATTAATCTGCACGTAGGAAGCATTCTTTCAGTGACAAAAAAGTGATGAGAAATAAAACACCTTTTATATCAAACGGCGATGAATGGCTGCCTATCTGTTAGGCTTTGATTGGGCCCTCAATTGATCATTGCAGCCTTTTTCGATTGCACTAGTGTGCAATGTCACATTTGGGTATAAAACAAACACAGTCTCTGAAGGAAGGAGGGGGAGCTTCAGAATCTGCTTTTGAGTGATTACAACTTAATCAGAACAAAGACAAACTGATAAAGTATGAGTTCATTGAAAAGACAGGGCAGAAGCAAATAACATAAAAGATTTTCAACATCTGCATCAGTGACACCTACGTGAACAGATTTTTTACTGTGTATTACAATTATTGATACATACTAAGCCTTTGTGTAGATAACCAATTCAGATGTTGACTGGCAAAACTGCCTTCCCTTATCAGAGCCACCAGTGGAGACTGACGATCAGTTTATTTTGTTGCTATTCTATATGGCAGTGAAATGCCAGGTGCTGTACGGACACAGCAGTCACAATTCCTGCCTCAGAGTGGTTTTCCTCAGCGCTCTGTTTAACCCTTGTAAACTCTAGTTTCTTCTTCTTTTTAAAGGGCCTGATTCATTGTTCATTGATGTCAACTGAATGACTTCTATTGACTTCAGCGGGCATTGCATTAGTCCATAGATGAATGGTATTGAAAGGCATAGTGATGAAAGACAAATGAAAAGACAGTGATACTAGAACAGTAATTTTCAATTATTCCTTTAAAAAAAACTACAGCAGTGCATTCTCCATACAGAACTAAAGCTTTCCTATGCTTATTTCTAAAATAGTTGTTTGAAATGTACAGACTCTTCACATAATAAATGCAATAGTATTTACTTTAAAAATACAGAGAGATTAGCTTTCTAGAGCTTAGCTCAGTTTAAATGATTAGAGATCTGAATCCAGATACAAAATTGCCATAAATGTACAGAGGGTAGAAGCCAGGGAAATTTTATTGTATTTTTTATGTCACATTTAAGTTATTTTGCAAAGCGGTCACGAAGTTAGGATCATTAAAAGAACCTATGCAAATGTCATATCATTTTACCTTTTAAGTAGAACTGCCACTAATTGAAAAATATATATATATATTTTTTTTAACTGAAGAACTTCTACTGTTTTACTAGTCAACAAATAGGAGTATTCTACTTAGGATCTAGCAACAGTATGTTGCCAGAATGCCTGCCCAGTTTTGGAACTTCCTAGTTTAGGGTGCTCCAGCTGCTGGCTTAGGAAATACTTGAACAAAACCAGAAATAATATTATGGTATAAAGTCATATACTAGAAGGAATTTGAAAATATTAATCCTCAATTCTACAAACAAGTTTCGGTTTCACTGAGACTGGCTGATCTTTTTCTGTGATTCACAAATTTTTTCTGGCTATTCCAAAAGTCTAAGGCACTCAGAAACACACTCCTAAAACTGTTGGCATTTTTGGATAGCAAAAGCAGCAAAGTATTTAAAGCATGAATGACATCAGAAGACTTCCATTTATTGGTCAAAAAGTTTTGAAATATAGTAGCATACAAAAATTGGAGGAAGTGTTCATAGAGGAAATGAAAGATGAAGAATGACATTTAAAATGCAGTAATAGAACTTAACTTTTTACTTCTAATGTTTACTTGTCATTCCCAATTATATTTTTTTTCCAAAGAACTTTTTATGTAGATAAACAAAACCCCAAATATTTCATTAGCTCCATAAAAATGGAGACAATGCCTTCTCACTAAAATCTTTAAATAGCTTTTCAGCAGACTTTACTAACATACACACATATACCCACACACAGAGTTGAGTCTGCAGTTTGTCTTTTCCATAAAAACTTCTTCCCCCTTCCGTGCAAATCAGATGAACAAGCTAAAAAAAAAAAAGGTCAAAGTCAAAAGAGAGGAATGCTCTATTGTAATGCATGATCAACTACAAATATTTATAGAAAAGATGAAAACACTACTGAGTGCACATCAGGATTGCCCTAGGACAGCTTTAACATGCATAGTTAATGTTTATGGAACATACCCAACTTACTGAATGTGAAATCTTCATTTTCCTCATATGCACCCAAAGTAAAAGCAAATTCACCAAAAAACACCAAAAAAATTTACTTGCTTGATAAAATCCTGAGGGGATAATGCAAAGCACTTAATGTTGTCACTGGTAGGCAGAAAAATTCAGTTGCATTTTCTGATGATTTTATTCTCTAGTTACATACAACTTGCTGCACACAAGGGGGAATAGCAGCCCACCTTGGAAAGCCAAATCATGTCCCCTGTGAACTTCCGTTTCTTTGGAGCTCCAGAGCTGTGTGGCTTGGTCTGCAGCAACAATCCTGACATGCAGGGAGACCAATCCCGTACTGTGGTTTCAAAGCCCCATTAGCTGACCTTCTCAAAACACAGGTCCATAAGGTTCTTTGCTATATAGTCAAAATATTTCAGCTAGCAAAGGATAAGAGTCCCAACTCTGGACCCTTCCATCAGGGCTACAGTGAGTTCCCAGGTCTAATCCCTGTCTCAAACTGTCAAGCCCAAGCACTAGGGCACTCTCCCAGCATCGCTTCTGGCTACAGTAGTTGGCATTAGCCAAAGTACTTCCACCTTAGTTATATAAGAAGCACCCAGTGAGATGTAACAGTACCTGTCCCTATTATTTAGCACCAGGGTTTAGGCTACTTTTCCACCTCAGTCTTGTCACAGCTGTCTGTTGCATAAAAAGAGACTGAAATGTACTAAAAAAACCTGGAAGACTAATAATTCATTAACCTGACAAATGAAATGTAAGTCCTATCGATCAAGAGTAGAACTTCTTCGTAATAAAGGAAGCATATATTATTCTGACAGTATTTTCTCAAGATAAACTGAAGTTACAAAGAAGGCAACCAATTTGATTCAAATGACTGTCTCTCCTCAGAAACGTTCATGATTATAGTCATCAAGCACAAGTTGGTGGGGTAGTGTTGCTACCCCCGTTTTTACAGATTTGGATAACTGAATAATATCAAGGAAACAGGACTGTATCACACTCACAGCTTTTCTGACTGCTGAATCTATGGAAAATGCTAAGCAAGACTGAGTCCTGCACTGAATCATGACACTGCTCAATGCCAGCATGCAAGGATGGGCGATGACACACACACACACACGCCACACACAAAAGATCACCTCCTCTTCCATCACTAACACTGAAAAGCTCAGGGCTTATTGAGCAGCTAATGAGAATAAACACACTTGCAGCTGGCCTTCCACCACCTGTAGAAGGTGAAAGCCGGCCAAAAACCTACAAGACTCTCCAGTTGTGATGAATGGATGGAAACCAAGAGTGTGGCTCAGGTTCAAGTCCTAGACTAGTTACAGCAGTATAATAGTGGTGCCAATATACCCACTTAAGAGTGGAGGGCTCAGAGCAAGAGGCAGCCTCTGGTATTCTGTGATGGTAAAATATTTTAGAGCAGGCATCAATTTACCTTGGTTAGTCATGTTTTTAGTTAAGCTGTATTTTGGTGCCCAGGGGCCTAATTTATAATTCTAATAATAAAATGTATTATGAAGTATAAGCCAAGCACATGCAGGTTCTAATTCTATTTCCTCGCAAAGGAAAGAACGAAGCTGTTAAGCTCCAGGTTCTTCCAATATTTCCTATTTGTGCCAAACACAAAAACCTGAAATTAGTGATGTACCACTGAAAGACTTTTACAAAGTTCAGGTAGAGCAAGTTAAATGTCTGCTGTCTTTTTTTGTTTGTTTGTTTGTTTGTTTTTTTAAATCCCCAAATTATGTTTCTGGTACCTCAGTATCACAGCTGTCACAATGCTTACTTTTGCAGGTAACCTGAATTTACAGAGAAGTAAACCAATCCAGTTCAGACATCCTCTCCACCTCAGAAAAATTACCATCCCTAAACTTGTGGGTAGTACTTCTACCTATATTATTACAGAGAGAACATATAGCTCAACTGAGGGATCTCCCCAGTCCCTAAGGATGGAGAAAATCCTAATCCATTTAGCAGAGAAACTTTTAGTCTGGTTTAATTGTAGAAGTTTACTGAACAGGCCAGCTGTAAATGTTATACTATATATGCCCTTATTTGCACATACAAATTGGGGGAGAATGTTCCATTATTTCCTTCCCTCTCAACTGGAAGACGCAGCACCCTGTGCCAGGCCTGAGCAGGCAGCTGGTCCCAGCTCTCTAGGTCCCCTTGCTGAATGCACTTACTAGGACACATTTAGTGCAACAGAAAACCAATATGTATGTATGTAAAACTGAGTTAATTTTAACAGAAAATTGAGTTTAATCATTCAGGTTGTCAGTAACTTATTTTAAAAATATGATATCAAAGAGCAAGACTAGCAACTGTATCATTAAGTTTTTACATTACATAGTATTTATGCTATAAATATAAGTTTTAATAAAAAAATCACTGCAGTCATTTTCACTCTAGTTTCCACTAAGTAATGTTGATATTGACAACAAGGTAGTACTGTTCATCTTATTTAAGCTGAGTAAATAACGAGGAAGAGTTACTAAGAATTCAGATACCAAACGTAGCAATGGTCCTTAATCTTATGAAATTGCTCTTTACTCTGGGCAGCAGCCAGTCTCACTGATGTCAGTGGCCCAAGTTCTGCAGGCCTTAATCACATACCATTACCTCCAGTAGGAGTTGTTCTCAATTTAGGATCAAAGACCATAGTGCGCTGGGGCCACTCTTTCAAGGGAGGATTGGGCCCAGACTTTTAATAAGGGGTTTGGTGGCTTACAAAGAGGTGATTAAGATCTTCCTTTGAAAAACACAAAATGTAGAGTTCTTCTTTTGGATTATAACAGCACAGATAGCCGTAGCTTGTGGATTTCAGAGTATTAACTGCTGATCCACAATTGAACTGAAAGGTTTTTGTTTGTTTGTTTTGTTATTACAGTATTTAGTTAAACTTGTCAACCTTCAGTTCTCAGTAAGTCATATTTAAGTTTCTTAGCAAAATATTTTATTTAAGGATCTCAAAGTTTCTGAAAGTTCTTGTTCTTTTTCATATATTCCTCCCCACTGCCCTGAGCATCTCTGTGAATATCTTCAAGAGTGAGATTTCCTGGTTGTATGCAAAACCTAGGGTAGGTTTTTTTTTGTTTGGTTTGGTTTTATTTAATTAAAAGCTTGCACTTATTCCTGAGAACTCAAACCATGAAGTTTTGGAAAGTAACCCACAATATAAAAGTTTCTATTTTCCTTAAGTGACAATCAAGGATTGCTGTTTGTCAGTGACAAACAGAAAGTACTTAGTATAATTATTATAGCACCTCAGTAAAAATCAGATTCTAGCCGTAGGTGATTGCAGCTATAAAGTTTCCAGAATAGGAACAATGAGCCCTATGAAACTAATGAAAAAAATCGCCAACTTCCTCACTCCAAAGTCTGATTTTTACAAGGACTCCATTTCTTCCTGGTTGCCAAAAATGAACAGTTTATTTGCATTGAGCTCAGGTCTCCAGGAAAACAATTTTAATGCAAAATTGAATAATGTTGCACCAATGACAGGATAATTAACTGGTTTCAAAATTGAGCAATATTTAGGTGCATTTACTGTAGCATGCCCCAATAATGAAAATAAAGAAATCATATTCTAATGATAGCATAGCTAAAGATGACAAATATCCAGACATACCCCTTGCTGTATCACTGTACTGTAATCAAAAGAATTAGAAATGTAATGACTACTTTGACACAAACAGGTATTTAATATGCTGAAAATGCACCAGATTTTCCCCCTCAAGCATTAGTAAAATCCCCAAGAAAATTAAAATCCAGGTCATAGCTAAATTCCTTTGAAACTGGGATTTAAATTAAAAAAAAAAAAAAAAAAAAAAAAAAGAAAAAGGAGTTTAGTCACTGTAAGAATTCCTTGTGCTGTTACATTTTTATAAGGTTAAAGCTAAAAATAAGATCAAAATCTTTTTGGAGGTTACATTAAAAAATAGACCAGGTGTGTTCAGAAACCCATCACACATATGCCTGTTAAACAGATGCAGACCAATAAATTAATTAAAACTACTCTCCTTTCAAATCAGAAAAGAGGAAAGAGCTGTTGGGGACATTTATGGGGTGACGTTCTCTTGACTGACAAGTTTTTCATGCTTGGCCTCTATTGTACAAGTCACTGATACTTCTCAAATTTTTTCTGAAAGGAAAATGAAATCATCTGTCTGCAAAGCAGAGAATTTAGTGATCGGTTTCTAGGTAGTTGGATTGATGCTAGAGAGAGATGGCATGGTTGTTTATCAGTCATGAAAAGTGAACAAGGAAACAAGGTTTCGACACTGACCTGATGAAAATCTTTGCTAGTAATTCCTGACATCACACTCAGAAAATCGGGATTTGCATGTGAAATATCTCACTCTCCTTAGCATGCTATACTTCATCGTGACGATTAGCATCTGAGCTGATCAAGTGAAAAAGTATCTTGTGCTGACCTTAAATCCTACTGTACTTATAGGACTTGGAAATATAAATAGAAAGGAATTTGAGGAACAGTAAATGGTCCTGAAAGGGCTACGTGACTCCTTGAAACATAAGCTTCTCTAGCACTTTAAAGACAAACAACATTCATTTCCACATTTCTCCTTCCAATTATACAAATTTAATTTTTTTGGAAACCACACAGTTGCTGGAAAAAGGAATTAGTTGGTGTAAGGGGTTATTAAACATGGCATTCACCCACTGCTCTTACACAGAAAAGGCAGCCCTGAAAAAAATAAAGCTGATTAATATGAAAGGCAGCTAACCTAAAAACTAAAACTTGAACTGAATGGTGCGTGTTAATCTTTCTCAAATACACTTATGAAAGCTAAATTTGCTGGCATTTATCAGTGCTATGCAGCCTGAGTGTTCATGTGAATGATATCTCCTCAATTCTGAGCAAACCAGTAAAAGACGTAATTTTGTCTTCACTAGTAATTTTCTGAATCTCCTGTCCATCTACAGCTGCTTGAATAGCAAACACTTAACAATCCAGGGTCATTTGTGATAAACTTTGTTAAAAAGCCACCATTCATTACTGGTAATTTACTTAATCCTCAAATTGCTTGTAAGGAAAAGATTGAAATTCTGTGTTATGTATTTGTTCTATTCGGTCTACAATCAAAATATGTTAGCCACATTAATAAAATACTTGCCAGATCAAAAACTTAATAGCCAGTCTTAGAGACTTGCCATTGTTTATTGATGTTTGTTTGCCAGCCTATCTGGAGACATAAGGAAAATCTTAATAGCTCTGGCCACTCATTAGCAAAGTACCATGGAGTTCTAATCCCATAAAGATATTAAACTCTTTTTTCTTACAATAGCAACAAATGGAGGGAATTCTCATTACTTATTAAGATGTGGTACATTCTTTGCATATTGAGTTTCTTCTTATACTTTGAACTCTTATCCCTCATCATTCTATTTCTGAGGCTAAGATCAAAGTAGGTCGGCATTGCAGAGCTACAGATGAGTGGCCGCCTTTCAGAGAATATTAATGCCCTCTTGAAGAGCAAAGCTGGGAAGGAGGTGTAATCCCCTGGAGAGAGGGCCCTGTGCGACGACTCGTACGGAACAACCGTAGTGTGCTCGCTGGATCAGCTGTTAAAGAGCGCAGCCTCACTGAGGTGGAGTTGCTTGTCCCAATTTAACAGTGTGGCCCAAATCTCAAAGCAATAGCGAGACAGTCTTTTTTTTGGAACTAGAGAATCCTGTAAATGTGGATTCTGGCAGACCGGCACAGAACAATGTGTTTTATAGCAGGAAAATATGTGACCAATTTCATATTTTGCTTTCAAAATTTTCTGGTCTTTCTGATTCAGACTTGTGACTTCTCCAGTTTTAGTTTTTACTTCTTGCTACCTCACCTACTCAAGGATTGGCGTTATTGATGAGCTTGCTGGTAGCAAGCAAGACAGCGTCTCCCTCCAATCTTCCACTTCCAGCAGTGATCCTGCCATACAGGGTTTCTTTCTTGTCTTCAGATTGCTTGCAAGCCTTTTAAAGGGGAATTACTTTAGACCCTTGTTAAAGTTAAGAGTAAACATGCTAAGTACTAAGACATTCAGTGGGTATCGTTATATGAAAAGAAGAAATGTTATATTCATTACAGAGGAAAATCTAGTAATAAAAAGTATTACCTGCATTTATAGCCCTTGTAACCTAATTTTTGTGACAAAGCAAAGAAGTAAAAACATTCCTTTCTGCCTTTCAGTGACCCCTATAAGAAACCCCCCATGGAGTCATTTAGGATAGTAATTTGAGTGAAAATATATGCAGCTTTTACTTTGCTTTCTCTTCTTAAATTAATAACCCTTACCAATGATAAATCTGAAAGTTTCTAAAGACATTTGCAAAGATGCCCTCAAATTAGTAAGCAATTAAAAGAAATAAAAACTTAAAAGACATTTTCCACAACAGAAAAGTGACAGAACACGGAGCTGTGTTGTTCAAATGTTAAAACTGTATATAAAATACCCCTTCAATATATGCTGCCAGTAAAAACCAAGGCAAAGCAGGTCATTAAAATGTCAGACTTGGGGCAGAGTGGAAAAAATGCTGTGTTTAAAAGTAAACATGTAGACCTTTTATAATTATTTCCCCTTAAAGTTAACTGTTCAAAAAAAAAACCCAACCAAAACAAACCAAAACTAAACCCCAAACAAACAGCTCTGCATCATCAGGATCTAGTCCTAATTTTGTTCCTAAGTGAACCTAGGGAGACTTTCTGGGTCTTTATGCAGTCTCTGGATGTCAGCTTTGTGTATGAAATGTCATTTTCCTTTACCCTTTTTTTCTAAAGAAAAAACAGAGTGATGTGTTCATACCATTAATATTGATGTCATGTTTATGCTAAGGCTGAATACAAATAACAGCAGCATTAGCAATTTTGGGAGCCTCATGTGCAGCAGGGTAACCTGTGGGAAGATCCTGCCTGGGGTGCCACGCACAGCCTTGCGCTGGCAGGGCTTGCACCGACTGGCAGGAAGACTTCCAACATTTGCTGTTGTGATGATGTTGTGTCCAAATGCAGGATTTTAGCACTGCTGTAAAGAGCTTAGGCTAGAAAACTGTGCACAATCCCTTCTCCTCACATGAACTAAAACTTCCCACTGAAAGCAGTAGAAGATTCAGTTAGCATAAAGGAGACGCTATGCTAGTTATGGGGGAGCTGAAACCCATACTAGTGCTACTTAGTTGAATTAATCTGTTTTGCAGTCCAATGCAGATGAACCAAGACAGTAAAAGGCAAACCAAAGTTTGCATCATCATATATGAAGCATGTTGCAGTACTGAAAATAAAAAGGTTGTATTCTGCTGTCACTTTTCCTACTTCCAAGCTCTTTCAGCCAGTAACAAAGACTGATATCCTTCTGACTCATCAATCACATTCCAGTTTTGTTTCCCTTCTACTGGAAAAAAGTGCATCATGGCCCTTAATAAAAAAATTTCCATCTCATTAATTTTGTGTATTTTAAGCAAAATGTCTGCATATGAAGTCAGTATAATAGCTGCACTGTGTCTTTTACTGAGTTAAATTCCTAAACTGTGTCTAAAAAGTGGCAAAGCCCTACTAACAACTGTCCAGCAGGCACAATTCCACATTAATTGGGTTAGTGTATATCTGAACAACACTGCTAATGCACACAAAGTTATTCCAGATTCATTTTGGTTTAACCAAAAAAACAGTAGTTGGCTTATAAAACTCAGATAAATTTAATGATTAAAAAAATGGAAATGCTGTACCCCTAGGCAGTTTCTGGGACTCTCACTGAAGTTCATGCAGGAATATAGGTATCTTACCATGTCCTCTAACATTTCCATATCTCTGTTCCCTAAAACTAACAAATACCGCTGCTGAAAGTACAGATTGGCACATTTACAATCAGTGATTAAAACCAACATTCTTCTGGTTTCCACCTGATAAGAGTGGAGCTCAAAGTGGAGAAATGATGGAAAAACACAAAACAGCACCGAGATTCAACTTTTATTTAACAAGCTGTTTTTCTTTAAACTAGCTTCTACAATGCAAGTATTTTTAAGTTGGGAAAAAAGCCTGTAATCATAGTTTGAGATATGTTATACTCAAAATACAGACCATGAGAAAATATTAATCTCCATACTTACGCTTTTTCTAGTTTCCAATATTTTATGTAGGATAATCAAACATATCAGGAGGAGACAGAGCAATGGACCAAGCGTTAGACTTGCATAATTGACTCAACAGAAAATCACAGACTTACATCTCTGGTTCCATGACTGTTAATAACAGATCTGTTATGATTAATACTTCCTCGGTATGTATGATCAGTATTTCTTAGGCATAGGCTTACAATGGCAAGTCTATGAAAACAGCCAAAGCATACCATATATGTCTTTTTTTGCCAGCTCTACGGTGTTCATTCTATGATAAAAATGATGAGTAATACTTACTCGTCACGCATAAAGTCTGAAAGTAAAAAGTCACATTTTTTTAAAAACAAATTTTGAATCAACATGGTGGCTTTAGTCCACTTCAATACTTTGTGTCATTCCATCGCACCATTTTAATTCTTTAAGAGGAATGTAAAGACAGGCTTAATGTATCACAGAACTCATGGCTTGTGACCTATGTCTTTAATGAAGGCAGCACACCATGAACCTGGAGGGCTGGTACTTAATTAAAATGGTAGGTTTGAACCCCATTTCTTTTCCTATTATCTACAAGTATTCAGGAGGATAATCCCAATTAATAAGATTTACTGGTTTTATGACACCTCTGGAAGTTCTTATTTCCTTATAAGTAAGCAAAAATGTTATTTTTACCTGTATTCTTTATGCAGAATCATCTTCTATCAATTGTAAGGATTCCAGAGCTGGGAACTAGGTTTCATTTTGGATTCTTCAACCTAGATAAAAAGAATGGGATAATTTTCTCAGAAAATACTAGCTTGCTTGCAGTTCATTGTGAGAATGTCAAAAGATGGTTCTTTGATGATTTATTATGTAACTACTGTTACTGTCTTCCTAGACACAGGCTAAAACCAGCAGCCAATTCTTCATTACCAAACTATCAAAAATTGCAGTTTGAAAGTAGACGTTCAATATTTCATAGATTTGAAGATCTTCAAAAAGACTTATTAGAGAACTTCTGAAATCATATGCCATATTCCAAGGAAATCCCTTAGAAAGATTTGACTTTGATTGCTCAGGAGTTTAAGGAAATAGGGCTTTCTGTTTTATTTCCAGAGCATAGACTCAACTGACACTCAAATGGAGACAACATGATCTGCGTCCTCAGGTCTCAACATACCCAATTTCTAGACATACAGCAGCAAAAATATATCTTCTTGAATACCACTCATATATATACACATCATTTGAGATTTAAGAGCACATGATAAACATAACATTAAATACTACCCACTGCCCACCATCATGGTCTTCCGGGTTCCAAGCTCCTATAACTTAGTGATACAACCAGCACATAGCCCAGATATGAACTATAAGTCAGGGACAGCAAGCTACTTTATTATTCTTACAATTTCAGAGGTGTTTTTAAAGAGCTAATCACAGAATGGTTTAGGTTGGAAGAGACTTCAAAGATCACCACAGGCAGGGCCCCCTTCCCCCAGCCCAGGGGGCTCCCAGCCCCGTCCAACCTGGCCTTGAACCCTTCCAGGGAGGGGGCAGCCACAGCTGCTCTGGGCACCTTGAGCCAGCGCCTCACCCCCCGCACAGGGAAGGATTTCTGCCTTACATCTAATTCAAATCTGATCTCTGTCAGTTTAAAACCATCCCCCCTCCTCCTACCCCCACCCCCTGATCCAGAGTCCCTCCCCACCTTTCCTGTCCCCACTTTAAGCCCTGGGAGGCTGCTCAAAAGTCTCTCCAAAGCCTTCTCTTCTCCAGGCTGAACCCCCCCAACTCTCACAGCCTGGCCTCCCAGGGGAGCTGCTCCAGTCCTCCAGGCATCAGCAAGGTCTCTAGGAGTCTCCCCTTTCCTGGAAGATCCTTTTCACATTCACAAATCTAGTCAATTCTGAGGACTGTGGGCCTGTTTTTTTAATTGATGGTTTGCCTTGTACTCAAACTGACATTGCCACTGGAGCAAAGAATCACACCTACCTTGCCAGCAGGTATTTGTTTCACCAGTGTTGCTCCCTATGCTGCAGAAGGGCAGGCATTCCTATAGCAAAGTAATGAAATCAAATAGCAGGTTAATTCAGTTTTGGGTTTTGGTGTTTGTTTTGTTTTGTTTTTTCTTGGTGTTTTTTTTTTTTTTTTTTTTTTTTTTTTAAAAAAAAAAGATAAAAAGGGAGGGAGGTGAAAAAACCCCCAGTGACTGAGTATCAGCTATTTGACCAGAGACAGCAGACTGTCTGGGCAGAGTAATCTGCAACATGGGAAGACAATGCAAAACACCTGTGCTCACTAACCTTTTAACCCAGCACAGTTTGTCTGCCCACAGCTACATGTAATCTGTTTGATTTTCCCCAATTACAGAAAGGGATAGATTAGGAATAATTCAAATGAATGGGTCAGCCAGCTAAACTGAGGGAGTTGCAAACTTCTACCAATGGATGGTGATAAAACATTCTCAACCAGAACAGTTGTTTATAGATGTAGTGTTTGGGATTAAGAAAAGATAATTTGAGCAAACCCAGGCTGCCTGCAGTATTTTAGAAAATGTGCATATGATCATTTGTGCCAGAGGACATGTGGCGCTGTATCTCTGCAATCAGTGGTATGAGCTGTTCATGGAAACATCTTTAACTGGCACAATTATACCTAAAAAATTGGGTGATTCACACCTTCACTTTCTCTTCTGTATTAACTCAGTCATTCTGTTTCTCTGTGCTGAAGTCAACAGATCTTACAAAGCAGCTGTCCTGTAAGCCGCTAAACAACTTTAAATGCTGTGCTGAGGGGCAGTTCTACAGATGCCTTCCACTTGTTTCTTGCCCTCAGACTGGGAGAACACTTTCTAAGAAACAGAAGGATCTGATTTACCTTTGTGTTGTCATGACGGCACTAAAGTTTGAAATTAATATTTTGAGGCAATAGTTGGAAATCTAGCAGCATTCCTGTATGAGCTGTGCAAATGCTTCTGTTGGAACTAGGCAGGAGAAGCAGCAGGGGCCGAAGCTGCTGTAGAAATGAAAGTGTAGCCACATTCCTTGATATCTGAGTAGACGGCCAGACTGACTTAAAGTAAAATGCTCTTAGGTGAATTCTAATCTTTTTTATAATCATCAAATTTTTCACATGCCAAATAGAACCCATCCACAGAAATGGTGTTTTTCCGGTGAATCTGTTCACACAATACTTTATGCTGGCAGCTCATTTATGTCTTAGTCATGTTTTCATTTTTTCTTTAGCAGATGTTTACAATTACTGCTTAAAATGTTTCTATTTTCTGTGATCACTGAATGTGAATGAGGTGACATTTTTAAAAATAATTGTAGCTTTTTCTGGCCAGAAACCACGTTGTTAGATTCAAGCAGTCTTTGTCTTTTAAACTGTGGTAAAGGTCTTATATCTCTGTAACAGCAGCATCTGCACTAGTTTGCCTATTATTTTTTTTGCCAAAATCAAAGTGTTATTTGTCGTTATCTGACTATATCTTGTGTCTGGTGATCAGATGTGTATATGTCTTTTTATTTAACCTTAAAGACATGGGGCCTATTCTGAATTTGTGCTCGAGGATTTCTTGGGAGGACTGCAGAACAAATGGTATTACAGCAGCCCAAGCTTCTGAAATGTGAAGGAAAGTTTATTTGCTTTTCTTTCAATCAGTTTTTTCATTTGTTTTTATTGACCTCAATTTAGATCAAAGTTCTCACAAATAATTGCCATGTTGCCAACACCTGCAATTATGTTGCAACTTTTGTAACGCTTCACACTTTCTTCAAAAACCCATTTCTGGGAGTCATGCAAATTTTTGAGAAAGCTCATGTTTCTTTTTTTTTCTTCTTTTGTTTTGAAAAATAAGACTTCCGTTTGCAGAAAAAATATAAAAATATGCCATACATTTACCATAAAGGCTCAAAAAAGAGTGCCACATACATATTTTAAAAGATCACTTTTTTTTTTTAATTCAGTCTCGTGACTTTTGCAGTGCTGACTCATGATTTTTGCATGCTTGACATCAGCAATACCACAACTGAGAGAAAATCTTTGTGAAAGATTCCTTTCTAGTTCTCTTGAGACAAAGGGATCCTCCAGGAAAAAAAAACAGAGAAACAACTGTTTCTTATTCATGATAGTTCTCAGTTAAAAAGAAGTACAAAACCCAACTTTAAAGCAAACAATCTAAAATATCTGCCAAACCATTCCTGCTTGCTTTCTTCAACATAAAGACTCAAAAAAAGGTACAAATACATTTTTTTCTTTTCTTTGTTAGGGTGGTATTAAATCATATAGTGTATGAAAACAAAACTTCCATTACAATTTAATATTTTTCAATAAACAGCTTCTTTTAATATGCCAGATTCCTCTCTCTTTCTTGTCAAGCAAGAAGTCTGGCATTAGGGAAAGACAATGACTTTTTCATTAATGATCATATGCTATTTTTAATTATACTGTGTATTTTTTTAACTTCTGCAAATGAAATGTAACAACTTTACAATGACATTCCTTCTGCTTAATTAAAAAATGTTTTCCTTTTTTAAGAATAAAGTATTCTGAGAGAAACATGCAAATTTCACTGAAAAAAAAAGTTTAGAGCCTTTTTGCTATTAAATGAGAATTTTGGTCCATGAATTAATGCACTTTCATTGCAGTACACTACTGATCTATGACCACAAGTTTCTATTTGTTGAAAACAATTACAAATATTCAATATTCTTAATAATACAGAAAGCAATCAGTAGCTATCATTAACATTGCTGATAGTAGTAGTAGTAGGGAATATAATAATATATTATACTATCAGTAAAAATTCAATTCTGGAACTGGCTGGTTTAGCAGTGAAAACTAGACTCCTTTATCAAGCAAAACTTCCAATTAATTTGAAATAGTTTTTCTACATAAAGACTTGAGGATAATATGCTTGTGGGTGGGATAAAAATGGTCAGTACGTGCCTGTATTAGAATAAATATTTTTGGCATAAACACTTTCAGAGGCAAATCAGGTCAAAGGATGATTTACAAAACTGTCATTGTCATATGGCATTAATTTGATAGTTCATTTCAATTGACATCTGTGAGAAACAGTTGGACATGCTGTTTCTGTTGCATTAACCAGACTTTTTAATTAAATATGCAAAGCTGAAAGGAAACAAACAAAATTAGACTAAAAAGTAAAACTATACTCAAGTAAAGGTACACATTATGCCACTAAACTCATACTGTAACAGTCTAAATCTGTACCATGCTATGAATTACCTTTGAACAGCAAACACCATCAGAATCATCACAGAGTGCTGCTCAGCACATAATATGAAGCCTTCTCCAGCACCACAGATGACTTTTCCCCCCCCCCCCCATTTCTTCTACATAGACACGAACAAAAATACTATTACTACTTCTGAATACTTCTAATATTTCTAATACCACTACTACTACAAAAGTACTCTTATTTCCTCACCATTAGGCTTTCAGAACAATATGGGAAGCAGAGACTATTTAAGTATCCTGTCCACTGAATTGGATCTACTGAATAGCAGACTATAAAATATGTTATTTGATCTGTGCTGTACCAATCCTTTAGCTGATCACAAACCCCATGCTGGGTCTCTCTAAACATTGGTAAGCATAACACTAATTTATGAATGCCAGAGCATCACTTCATAACTGTTCCTTAATAATATTATCCCATATTTGTAGTAATTCTTTGTAACCCCTGATTTACCCAGAAACTATTTTTTTCTGTTAAATTCAGTATTTTTAGAATGATACCATATTTTCATGTTATCTCAGTGGAGATATATTTAAACAGAAAATATTTCTAATTTGTTTATGCTCTCACTTGGCAAGGTAGCATTAGGACACCACAAGCTTCAAATACATCAATACTAAGTAAAGGGGTTTTTTTGTTTGTTTTGTTTTGTTTTTTTTTCCCCCCGAGATGTACATATCTAAGATGAGGCTGATTTAGTCAAGACAGGTGAAAAAAAAATCCTTTATAAGACAACATCTGGAGCATTTCAACACTCTTAATGTGTCTTGGGCTTGTCTACATGAGACCTTTTCTTCTGGTACTGCCCTACCTCAGAATCAAAATCCTATTGTATGATCTTTAAAACTATCAGCCTTTCCCTTCTCTCCAATAAAAAAAAAAAAATCTTTAAAGATTTCAGCTCAGCTTGTGCTTTGGCTATATAATGCATCACTCAAATAACGTACAAAATCTCACAGAAAGGAACAAATATTTGTGCATATATGTCACTTGTTTTAAAAGTGTAAAGATTATTTACAAGTTTAGTATGATCTCTGGAAAGGATTCTATACCTACAATTGGGGTAATCCTGGAATTTAAAAAATAAGTTTGTAATATGAGTTCTTGGCAATACAGATTATTGTTGTAGATACGGGGTGGTGTAGACAGAAAGGACTGTTTGTTGACTGTTTCTTTCTGACACAGTATATGAATCCCATTCTGAGGTGGTCTGCTGGTTGCCTGCAGTGAAGGAGAAAAAACTGTTTCCCTTTTGATGTATAATTTGGCTTCTGGTTTTTGTTTTGCTTTCCTTAGAGCATTGATGACTGACCATAACTGGAGCTGGTAGAGGATGTCAGACTGATATGCAGTTGCTCTACCAGAGTGCCCAGCTGGGGTCTCTTCCTCATATTAAATCAAGGTTCAGATGTGAGCTCAATGAAGCATTTCCCCCAAATCAGATTGCTATGAACTACTACATTTTTTTTTTTGTTTTACTTTCCTCAGGAGGTTTGAATTATCTAAAATAATTTGAAAATTTTGCATACACCCTCCCTCCCCCCGTAACTATAAGTGAATGAGTTGAAAAGCAAAATATTTAGGAAATTAGTTCTTGTTTACAAAGATGAAGCAACAGAAGTTTTCCTTCTGTCCTCATAAAAGCTGTCGAAGTACCACATGCAGAGATATTTATGTTATTATGCTTTTAAATAAAAGCTGTGCAAAGTTCCAAAGAATGTACCGTGGTTGATTATTGCATCATGTTACTGGAGCTGCCAAACTATCAAAATAAATTTCCAGAAGTC